AGGCACTATACGGACGTAAGTGCAGATCACCTTTATGTTGGGCTGAAGTTGGAGACACCCAACTGGCTAAGGGTCAAACGACCAATAGCACCCTCACCGACCCAGAGATCATACGGGAAACAACAGAGAAGACCGTTCAGATACAAGAACGACTGAAAGCATCCCGAGATCGACAAAAGAGCTACGCAGACAGGAGGCGCAAGCCTTGGAGTTTCAGGTTGGCGACCGAGTACTGTTAAAAGTATCGCCATGGAAAGGGATGATACGTTTTGGCATACGAGGTAAACTTAATCCATGTTATATAGGACCTTTCGAGATCATTGCAAGGATAGGCCATGTAGCCTATAAGCTCCGATTACCTCAAGAACTCAACAATGTACATCCCACTTTTCATGTATCAAGCCTCAAGAAATATCTATCAGATGAAACCCTTGTCATTCCATTAGAAAAGATGGAGGTTAATGAAAGCTTAAATTTCATCGAAGAACCGGTCGAAATCATGGATAGGGAGGTCAAACAAACAAAACAAAGTCGTATTCCAATAGTGAAGGTCCGCTGGAACGCTAAGTAGGGACCTGCGTACACTTGGGAGCGTGAGGATCATATGAAATAGAAGTATCCCCAACTATTCCTAAATCCCTAGGAGCTTGATATCTAAGACTAATTTCGGGACGAAATTCCTTTCAACAGGGGGATGATGTGACATCCGTCAAATTTTGGTCAACAAAAGTCAACAAGGGTCAACAAAAGTCAACTGTGCGTATATTAGGTCAGAAAGGCGAAATGTGATTTTCGTAACATCCCTAATGTATTATCAGATATTATAATGCTACGTACGCTATTTTGAATCCATTATCGAATAAACGCTTTTATTGCAATCAATAAACTACGGTAAAGTAGCAATTCGATAAAACTCACAAATATTGTCGGGTATTGGGTAATATTCATGACACGAGGTTTACGTGTTCACAAAGCCATAAACATGTTGCAAACATCATATGATCTAGCATTTAGCTTGATACTCCGGTAAATTACCAGAAAAGATCATACATCAAGAAAACGGAAATTATCACGTTTAACGCTCACATTTTATACAACAAATTTGAGAAAAACTATTTAATCATAAGGTGTTAATATTATTGTTAATAATATTAAATAACAATATTTTTATTAGTTATTAAACCTTATCAATTTCTCAAATCCCACCACAATTTTATAAAAATGACAAACTTTTATAAAAAGGGCTAGGTTTTTATAAAAACTATACGAGACAAATTATGTTTCTCCTCTTCCAACATATCTCACCATATCCCAACATAATCATATCATCTTTATATTATAATATAAAGAAAGCCATATTTTGATTATTATATTCCAAAGGCCATGCCATGAATTTTATATTCCAAAGACCTTAACCCTAAATTTTATAATCAAAAGAGTCTTACATGCCACTTCCCTATGCAAACCACTCTCTTCCCCTCTCTTCTTTAAAACTCGGCCGAAAGGCCTCCCATCCCCCTCACTTCATCTTCAAGCTCTCTCTAACTCTCTCTCTCTCTAATCCCTCTAAGGACTCTCTACTTGATTCAAGGCTTTTTGGCAAGTGTTTTGCAAGGCTTTTTGGTAAGTTTCTTCCATATTTTCTAGTTCTATCACTCATCCATCATCATCTTTTGGTTATTTTACTCATAATCTTGAATCAAAAACCCTAGACAAGATCTTGAAGTTCAAGGAGGTGTTGTCTTCCAAAGCTTGATTCCCACCTCATCTTTCTCACCATTTCTTGCCATCTTCTAGGGAAAGCACAAAATGTGAGTTCATACCCCCATTTCTACTAGTTTTCACTCATTTTACACTTTCGGGGGAGGTTACATGCCATGCAAACAAAATACATTTTGGACAATGACTTTACACAAAGGTCCTAGATATAATATAGGATGGATAAAACTTTTAACATTTGGGTAATACTCTTACATGCATGTTTATGTTCTATTTACGAAATATATACATATATTCATGTTTTCAACGAAAACACACAAGTCTCATTCTTTCATATGCACAAGTTTCTAGTATTAGATCTATTGTATGATGAATAATACCTTTATCCATTGGATAATATTATTACACACTGGATAAACACAAACTAACATTTTTTACCAAAAGTCTAGTTTTGAAAGAATAAAACTATGTGTTTACACATTGGATAAAACCATTACCCCTTGGATAATACCATTATCCATTGGGTAATACTATTATACACTATATTAATACTATGGAAAAGTGATATTTACACATACAAGGGTTTTCATTACACAAAAACGTAAACTTGTTGAAACAATTATGTGAGACAAAGTCTTCACCATACCTACCAGAGTACACACTAAAGTCTTGAATTATAACCAGAATCTCGGTAAGAGAGCGTGATACTTGTGTATAGATCTATACAGGACTGACAATCCCGCACCTAAACTGCTAGATACAGCTAGACCGACAGGTCTGGGGTGACAAATGTCAAACATTACGACGCCTGAAGAACGTCGCAGCAGGCCAACTTCAGTTTTAGCATGGTTGTAATAACTCACATGGAAAATCAACGATACATTTAGTTTACGGGGTAACATGCGTTCAAATGGTTTTATATAAAAAATAAAACTACGTAATACCACTTTAAGTATATAAATACTTATACATTTTTGGTCTTAGGGTTTTTAAGACTACAATTCATTTTAAAGGAAATATTGGATTTTCTGGGAACAAACACTACATTTATAAGTATGATTATTTACTTATACACTACATTTATAAGTATGGTTATTTACTTATACACAACATTTATAAGTATGATTATTTACTTATATACTATATTTATAAGTATGGTTATTTAATTATACACTCAATTTTTGGATAATAAAATTCACATGACAAGTCACACTTTTTATAAGTTTAGAAGTTATGAGAACTTTTATTTTATAAATGCTTTTGGATACATACTACACACATACATTCGTCTTTTACGCTGAAGGCTTACAAATACAAAACATTTTACAAGGATACAATTTTTACACAAGGAAAAATATCGGATTTTTATACAACTGAACTCTTATGAACTCACCAACTTTATGTTGACCTTTAAAACGACATGTAATCTCAGGAAACAATTAAGTTCGGGTCAGTGGAGCTACTTTTGAAGACAAGACACCAAATATCATTACGATAACTACTTTATTTGATAACATGCAAATCTTGTAATGTATTTTGATACTAAGTAACATCTGGGTCATGTAACTGATATAATCATATGATATGATGGTTGTTTATGTACTTGTGTTTCAATGTATACAATTATTGTGATACTGTGATCACCGTTCCACCTCCAGACGTTTCTGTCATCCGGTTTGGGGTGTGACATAAGAGGTTGCATTGTGTAATATTGTAGTAAATTTGGTGGGGTTGGCCTTGGGTCGAGGCGAAATCATAGACAAATTAATTTGTGGTCTGTAAACCGGCGGCTCAAACAAACGAATATTTGCACACAATTTGCTACGAGAGGTAAATTAAGGGTTGTTTGGATTATTTTTGGAATGCACAGGTTTCAAAGGTGGTATGGACTGAAAATGATATGTGTGTTGAAAAATATAATAGATAATAATGTATTTATAGTAGTTTTTGAAAAATAAAATAAATAAATAAAAATAATAATTCATCAGCATCTAGCCGTTTGCCAACGGCTACAAACGCTCACAATTTCAAATGGAGGGTGCGGTGAAACGCTAATGTGCGGGAGGTATACCATATATTTTTGTGGGGGTCGATGTTAGATCTGGCAACGAAGCGGGTTTTGACCCTAATCCGCTTCAAACCCGCGCAAAATTAATGGGTTTAGATCATATTTTATGATTCGTTTACCTATTAACGGCCCATATCCGTTAACCCTTTTATAAAAAGGGTCGGGTATGGATCACTATCGATCCGATTTGTTTATAACCCACACCGTCTAAAATTTTAAAATATAAATTTATTATTTACAAATTATAAATTTATCACCCATATATGTTCTATGCATGACTCGATGAGTTCGATTGTTCCACTTCCACTTTCCAGTTCCTAATCGCCGAATTCCATTCGACTCCTAATACAAATAAATATGTAAAATTGTAGAAACGTTGGTGACTATACAAGATTGACTGCCCTAAAAAAAAGTATTGCTTTAACTCTATAAGTCACTTAAATTTTTACTTGAAATAATTTAATATATGCTTATATGCACTTATTTTTTTTCCTGGTGATTTCTAAGTGAGGGGATCAGTTGGACTTTGGGTTTTTTGAAGATGCATTTTGATGTCTACATTTTCTCATACATGTTTGCAATAGTAGACATTTGTTTTGTTTTGAAAACATTATTTATTAAACTATAATTGAAGTTTGTTTTGGAATAAATAGCGATTCATGTTATATGTATTGTAATGCATAATTATAGCATAATCTTATTATTGTAAATGGGTCAGATAAAAATGTTGAAAATCCATTGATCTAGTGAAAAGTATTTGATTTAATTATTCAAAACCCTACGGGTTACGGGTTGAGTTTGGATCAACATTTCAAAATTGCTTATTAGGTTTGGATCAAGGCCGATCCGTTCCAAACTCATTCCATTGTCAGGTCTAGTCGGTGTCGTGTTTACCGCACATCGCGGTGTTATATCATATACCGTAGTGTGCAGTACATTTACTTGAAGTGTAGACACCGCACCGATCGGTCTTAGTGGTGAATATTTGGGTTTACTACACCTCCAAATATCATATACCGCTGCAGCGTGTGCTACATTTACTTGAAGCATAGACATCACACCGACCCTACATTATTTACCGCACACCGCGGTGGCACGTAGCGGTGAATTTTTGGGTTTAAATGGGGCGGGACCGCGGGAGTGGGACGTGACTGACTTATGCTTTTGTATGGGCCGATTTACTAGAAGCGTAGACTAGTCTTGGGGAGCAAGACACAAAGAGCGACGTATTGCCTCTTGGGTTTAACTAGGGCTTTTTCTAAATACCCCCATTCTTCCTGTTCCTATTTCCTTTCCTTACCATTACCAATTTGATAGCCATGAATCGGTTCTTGAGATCCCATACCGCGATTCACGCACTCAGATCACTCAACAAGGCTCAACAATCGCCGTTTAGAGCAATCTCAACATCATCATCTTCCATTCTCAACCAATCATCTATCACTTCCTCTAATCACTCGTCGCCTCTTCGGCCGCTGTCATCCTCCCCCTCCAACGTCCGTCATTTCCGCTCCTCTCGCGATCCCATCAACAGGTAATATCAACCCACCTTACATAAATATCCATACAAACATATATACTCTTAATTATTTGCTAATTTTGAGCCACACACTATGCTGGTGCTAGTGGATTCCGTGTTAAGCTAACAAAAACAATTTGGCACGCGTAATTTCATGTCATGATCACGATTTTTGGATATATGAATTTGAATTTGGTTGCTCAATGACATTATGATTGATTGAACTTTTAGTTATGATACTCCGCCACCTGTTAATTGGGGCATCCGGATAGTACCTGAGAAGAAGGCTTTCGTGATTGAAAGGTTTGGAAAGTACGCTAAGACCTTGGAACCTGGGATTCACTTGTTGATTCCTTTTGTCGACAAAATTGCCTATGTGCATTCTCTCAAAGAAGAAGCAATTCCTGTCCCAGATCAATCTGCCATTACCAAGGACAATGTCAGCATCTTGATTGATGGGGTGCTCTATGTTAAGGTGTGGTGATGCAGATGCAGTATTGGTGATTTACGATTTCAAAATTCCAGTTGACCGATTTAATGATTATTATTTCTGCTGGGTATTTGAATATCCTGAGTACAGATCGTTGACCCTAAGTTGGCATCATATGGAGTGGAGAATCCACTCTATGCTGTCATTCAGCTTGCACAGACAACCATGCGTAGTGAGCTTGGCAAGATCACTCTTGATAAAACATTTGAAGAAAGAGACACACTGAATGTAAAGATAGTGGTGGGTTTCTCATTCCATTTGTGTTTTTATTATATGCCATTTTTTTAACTAGAATGATCTTAGTGTACTGCGCTAGGCTCATTTTTGTGAAATATATCTGTGTGCAGTGTGCGTAAAAGCAGAATTGTATAGGAAGTAGGACCTTTAAGAAAACATACTGTCAGAACACATGATCCTTTAAAAGTGTTCTACATATTGTAATTATATGTGGTATCTAGGACAGGTGAAACATATTTATGTGGAAGGCCATGATTAGGTTAAAAGATGATTGTATTATGAAACCCATTAGGGTTTCATGCAACAATAGATATAATTGCTTCATTTGGATGCTTATTTATGTTGTGGAATTGATTAAGCTTTGCAAAGATATTCTTACAATTCGGAAACTTCTTGGTACACTTTAATTTTGTAAGATAAATAATGGCTTAAAACACTTAAGTACACACATAATCAAATCTCATTTTAATAATAATTTCTTCCTCTCTTTATCAATATGATAAAAAACAGTTGGTAGTATGAAAATTAATTTGAATAGAACTAATATCTGTAACAATGTATTTTTTTGCAGATAGCTATTAATGAAGCTGCAAGAGATTGGGGTTTGCAATGTCTTCGATATGAAATAAGTAACTTATATTATTTTAGTCGAACTTAATTTAAGTTGGTAATTTAGGGCAAAACTTTGTTATCTCCAATTTTTTCTTCACTAATGTATTTTGTCTATAGGGGATATATCTCCTCCACCCGGTGTAAAAGCAGCTATGGAGATGCAGGCAGAAGCAGAGCGTAAAAAGAGAGCCCAGATTCTTGAGTCCGAAGGTAATAAAACCCTTCCACGCTCTGATATGTTTGTATCTTATCTTAGATTTAATAAAACCCAGATGCTTGTGTGTGTTATATTATATTACAAGTGAGGTCTGTAATTTTGTATTTTTCAGGAGAAAGACAAGCACACATTAACATTGCTGATGGAAAGAAGAGCTCGATGATGTTGGAAGCTCAGGGTAAGTTGGCGACATATAAACTAAGCAGCATAAGTTTAGATGTATTCAGCAGATAGATACGGTTGGGCTTAATGAAAGACAATCAATCTGTATGGAGAAGGGTTTATGCCTTTATGGTGGGGTACTGGTTTACTTGTCATCATGTGAAGTATACAAAAATTACCATTTTAATGGGTTGGGTTCTGTTGCATTGTAAGATTGGTGATAAATGGAGATTTTTTAAGGTTGGTATTATTTTTTGTTAATAATTCAGGGGAAGCAGAGGCTATTTTGGCTAAAGCACAAGCAACAAACAAAGGCATTGCTTTGGTTTCTCAAGCCCTTAAAGAAAGTGGAGGAGTTGAGGTAAGCTCCTCTGTTCTGTAGTTGCATAGTTTAGTCTTTTGGTTTAAGATGTATGATTTATGACTCGTCTATATAGATAGGGATAGGAATGGGATGATGTTTATTTTGAGCATGTCCAGTTTTTGGTTGTGCTTGTGGAATATGTGAAAATTCAGTTTAGACTGTCTGTGAGTGATGGTTGAAGCTGAAAGGTGGTTGGGTGTTTGCAGGCAGCAAGCTTGCGAGTTGCAGAACAATACATCAATGCTTTTGGAAATGTGGCAAAGGAGGTGAGTGGGTTTTTGCATTCATCATGCATTGCTTGCAATTTGCTATTTGCTATTTGCTACTTTTTATTTTATTTTGTTTGTGTTTGTGGTTGTAATATTGTATATAGGGGACGACATTGTTGCTTCCTATGAATGCTTCGAACCCTGCCAGCATCATGGCTCAGGCTCTCAACATATACAAAAGCTTAATCGGTCCCGGTCCTGGACATACCAGTGACTCAACAGCTGCAGAAGCCAACAGCACTCAACATGACACTCATTCTCATTCTAGCCTCCTAGGAGGATCACCAGTCTTTTCTCTTCAAGACAAAAGGAAGAATTAAATAAAATTCCATTCCATTGATAAACTACATAGCCATTCAACTTACTATTTTACTTTGTACTCAGTCAGATGAGATTTGGTTTTTGGTCAAGACAGCATGTCATGTCATGTCCCCCCATACACCTCGTTTTTTTTTTTTTTTTTTTTTTTTTTTTTTTTTTTTGCATATAGTTTCACTTTTTTTTAGTCTTATTAGTTAAAAAATTTGAAAAATGCAAATGTGATTTTCTATGGGTCTAGACAAACAGTTGAAAATAACCCAACCCTTTTCTTCAAAGATCATTTTACAATATGGCATCTTGGATTGACTGCTTGTTTGCTTCATCTTAATAAGAGAAGACAAAGAAGGCTTTTGATTTTTTGAGTTACTTCCCAAAGTTTGCCTGTTTTCCATGAATCAATCAAGCATGAATTGTTTTGCTACTGATTGATTAATTTTGTGTAATTGGCCGACAGCAATGGAAGAGAAGCTGAAAACATATATATCTTGAGCCTTTTGCAAATGAGAAATATGAATTATCGTTGAAAAAGTTACTGATGTTAAAATTGTTAAAAGACGTAGTGCGTGCTTGGTAGGTAGTATGAGCTTAAAGGTACAAAAAAATAATGTCAAAACACCCTATCACAAATTCACTTCACGTAAGCTGGTAGAAGATGAAGATTGAGGTGAACCCAACTGTGAAAGCATTTTCATGGCCAAAGCCGAAAACAACACTTCCCTAATATTTCACCTCCATTCAAATCAAGGACACGTTCTTTTTATTCTATCTATAAAAGCCAGCTCCATCTGTGCTAGTACAACTCTTTGACACCCATCGATGATGCATGGTTCATTCATTTCTTTTCCCGTTGGTTCCTCTATATCAACTGAAAGGAATTTGGGAAATCAAAATCAAGAATTCAAATTTCATGCTCGGAAGGAGTGGAGTTGCGTAGGTTTTTATCATATTAAATAATATACCTATACTTACTTGCATACGTTAATATGATTAATGACTAGAGGTTTAAATGGACGAATGGTAACAATCCATACAGTCCTGGCTAGGTTGTTTGAAATTTAAGCCTATTAATTAAGAGGACCAGGTAGATTCGTACAACTAACAACCAATCCAAATTACGCCATGGCACATACTCAAAGATGCAATATCTCATGTCTGCTACAAAACACACACACACACACATAAAGAGTAAGGGCTATCTTATCTTGATTCAGAAGAATGATACCAAACATCAAAAACTACTTCCTATCGTTCCTCATGTATTATATACAAATCCAAATATACAAAGAATACAAATCCAAATATACCAAACATCAAAAACTACTTCAAACCATTGTAATCAACATGAATGTTGGATGATGGATCCATTCCTGAGGCTGAGGCTCAGAGGAGGCCTAATAAGACGAAGAATCCAAGGAGAATAAGCCAAAGAATGTGAACCAACAGAAGTGCCTGACCTGATACCGGCCCGCTGCCTCCATTTTCAAACTCACAAAACCCTAACTTGGCCACCCGTGTACCGGCACAGACCGCCTCCGCACATCCGCACCAATAGGTGACATTATTCACGCCGCACACGGGAGCCGTTCTGAAGCACTTCACTGGGCATGACCCGGGAGTAATCGGGTCGGGGCAGAGAGAGGCTGATACGTCATCGGATGGTAGCCGAAGGAAATCTCGATTGGCCGTGCTAGGGAGGGCCAAAGCGGTTACTGCCACGAAAATGATGAAAAAAGGGAGGGAGAGAGATTCGTTGGGCATGGTGACGGAGGCGAGCTAATCTTGCTCGCCTTGCTGCTCGAGATCTTCCGATCGCAATTGAAACCCTAAAGCAGATAAAAGGAAGTTGGGGTTTCGGAAGAGCCTGGATTAATGGATGAAGACGATTAACGGACAGCCGGAGGAGGATATGATCGGTTACGCGCATTTTGCAGGTATTTTGTTAACTTATTCCCTCTTTTACATCGTTGATTTGCTGGAATTCTTTCTTTCTTTCTTTATATTCTTTTTGGGAAGACGAACCAAACATGCAAAATAAGCAAACCACAAAACGGGTCCCCCTTTTCTATTTCTATTTTTTTTTATTTTAAATTTGGGAAAATGACTTGTAAAGGTAAATGTCTTTATTTTTGGTGTTTGTACAAAAATACCATTTGTCTTTATTTTTGGTGTTTGTACAAAAAATACCATTATGTGATGCATGTATATATTTTACCAATAATGTTCTTTCATTGTACATATCATCCCATTGGCAACATGTTACAAAAGATAATACACTTATTTTTAAAAATTAGAAAAATAAAATGGGTATGTGGAAATTATTAATGAATACGTGGCTATTACACCTAAGTATGTCTGTTTACAAGCTCTATTACATCTATCTCCCTTTAAACACTCTCGCTCGGTGAAAATTAGGGTTTTTCAAACACTCTCAAAATACTTCAACTTTCCTCATGTAATTGAAGATTCTCTCTGAGAAGTCGATGATGGATGGTCCATCGAATGCAAACAAAGCAAATTCTATTACAGTAGATGTTCACTACGAGAGAATATTTTCCCCCAAACCTCTTATTTACTTCCAACATATAAAAATGTCAATTCGAGATGTCAATTTTGGTGGAATAGAATTCAAGGAGTTCATTTCTATTCTTGAAAAAGTCACTAAGCGGAGGTGTACTGATGTCTACTACTGTTTAGGGCATAAGTCACTAAGAGATGGGTTGAGAACACTAATAGATGATGATGATTACACTAGGTTTCTTGATGCTACAAATGGTAATGGGGGAATATTAGTGTATACGTTGATCACTAGAATGAACCTCTATTTGACTGGATTGAGGAAGAGAAAGCAGAAGGTGTTGATAGTGAAAGATCTGATGAAGATACAAATTCAGTCTTGTCTGATGCTCTATCTGTTGATCTTGGAACCCGATGAAGAGGTAATACCACCGACTCTCTCTGATGATCCTTTTCTTAACCATATTAGTGTTATCCCAAGAGATGATGTTGCTGATGAGGAAGATGATTCAGATAATGGAACCAAACAAGTTCCGGTTATCCTTTTCATGACCCAAATCAAAAATAAGGTACAATGCAACCCATCATTGGAATGAGATTTTGTAATCCTCAAGAACTCAAACAACTTGTAGCCAACTATGCAATATCAAATGGTTATAACCTCTGGTATGAAAAAAATGATAAAACCAGGTTGTTAGTCAGGTGTTGTAAAACTAGTGAAGGAAAGGCGACATGTCCTTTTAGACTATGGGCAACTTGGATGAGTAGTGAAAAATCATTCCAAATTAAGTCCTTAGTTAATGAGCATAATTGTGCTAAAATCTTCAAGTTTAGGTCAGTTGTAACATACACATGGATTGGGAAACATTTTGTTAATGAGATTTTAGAAAATCCAAAAATGAGTTATAAGGAAATGAGGACTAAGGTTGGGGAAAATTTCAATGTCAATGTAAGTGTAGGGCAGTATAGAAATGCAAAGAAGTTTGCACTTATTGAGATTGAAGGCAGTTTGAACTCACATTATGAAAAATTGTGGAGTTATGGATATGAAATATTGAGATCAAATCATAGGTCAACAATGCAAATTGATACGAATATAATGCCTGATTCCATAGTTTATTTTTTAAAGATGTACATTTGTATCAAAGGTGTAAAGGATGGTTGGATTGAAGGGTGCAGGAGGGTTATAGGTGTAGATGAGTGTTTTCTAAAGGGTATTTGTAGAGGTGAGCTTCTATCAGCAGTTGGAAGAGACACTAACAACCATATCTACCCCATTACTTGGGTAGTAGTTGCAGCTGAGAACAAAGAAACTTGGAAATGGTATCTAGACTTACTTCTTGATGACATTAACATGTGAAATGGAGCAGGATTAACCCTAATTTATGACCAGCACAAGGTATCTGCTATCGTGGCATAGTAGTAATAATTTTTAATGTAACGCACCAAATTTCAACCCATAATTTTCAATTAAAACATTAAGTGTTTATTCAAATCACAACTACAAGGTCTTAAAACATTTATCAGAGTATCATTAAAAGTTATCATGTGCACAAGTCCCCCATTGATGCGAGGCAATCGAGTCGTACCCTTCCTTTAATATAAGAAAACCTGAAACATGTAAACCGCAAATCGTAAGCACAAAGCTTAGTGAGTTCCCCAAAATACCACGCACAACACAACACAAATAAGCAGCTATGAGTTATCAACAACCTTGGAGACTACCCGAAGTCTCAGTGGGCAAACAGCACGCCCGGTGGGTTATCAGCAACCCTGAAGACTACCCGAAGTCTCAGTGAGCAAACAACACGCCCGCTGGGTTATCAGCAACCCTGGGGACTATCAACAGTCCCAATACACAGTAACACATATCATGGTAACAATAAGCAAGACCCAGCTGGTCAGCATATATA